GAATGGTTCCGCAGTGGAGGAAAACATCACGTGCAGCACGATACCCTCAGTGCCCAGTGGAGTACAATGAGGAATAAAAAGTACAATATTCTGGATTAGACAAAAAAACGTTTGCTTTTTCCAAAGTAACCATATTTTATTAACCCTGTAAGGCCTAAACCATCAAATAATTGTCAGGAATCTCTTATTCTTCGAATCTGGAGGTGGTGCAGCGGTTAACGCGGTTGTCTCACAGTGAGGAGGTTCCAGGTTTGAATCCCTGTTAGACAGGAGCTTCTCTGTGTGGAGTTTGCATGTTCTCCCCATGCATGTGGGTACTGCGGCTTCGTCCCTCAGTCCAAAGACATGCTCATTAGGTTAATTGGTGACTCATTGCCCATAGGTGTGAATGGGAGTGTGGCTGATTTTCTATCTCTATATGTCAGCCCTTGCCTCTCGCCCAATGACAACTGGGCTTCATCTTCCCCCTGTTATTCTTCAGTCTTTATTAGGATCTTCATTAGCATCAGCATACACATCGGCTATTCTTCCTGGGGTCCAATACACATCCATTAATACACACTTATACAACGAACAATATAACAAACAAACAAACAAACAAACAAAGACAGACAGCAAGACCAGCTCCTCTAGTAGAATTAAAGAGAAATAAAATCAATCAATGGCCATCCATTTAACAGACCTTCTGCAGAACAACACAAACATCATCTGCCTCACGTTTTCCTTCATAAAAATCAGATAATATCCAAATTCACCGACTGTATATTTATACATTTTGATAAACACAAATCATTGTCTGAATGACCCTTATAACTAAATCTCTAACCATCATTTTTACAGACATTAATTCCAAGAAACCAAACAGGCATATATAATGGTTAATTACAAACTCCAAGATACTGTTTTAACAACATTTTAAACTGATCTTTGTTACTCTCTGGAGTGAGACTCACTGGCAAAGCATTCCACCTGACCTGACCCTTCTGAGTCAACTTCCCTGAAACATAATATTATTCCTTATTTCATTTCTAGATTAATCAGTGTTTAGTTCAAATTAATTAGAAAAGTGATGAGCAGGTGACCACTGCAAACATCCAATTAGTCATAATTACATAATTATGCATATAAAAACGTTTCTGAGGATGTAGAGGTCTAAAAAAAAATAATGGTGTATTGATTTATTTGGCTTAAGGGTTAAAAAAAAATGCTTGGTCAAAAGACTCTGAAGAACCCCAATAACTCAGATTGGGTTTACATGAATTAAATCAAAAAAAATCTATGTGGCAGCAGTGTATAGTACTTGATGTAGTCATCGCCTTCTTCTGTGTTTAAAAGTGAATTTATCTCTGGTGTGACTGAATCTCTTCTTTAGCCAATGTACAAACTGTGATTCTAAATAACTTATTTGAATGAATTTTTAATTGCCCACTGAACAATTTGAATATGAATTTGATACATTATATGATTTCCCCTTAGTTGCCATCCTGTCTCCTTAGGGGACCTTTTAGTTTGCATAAACACAAATAAATTAAGCAAAAGCAGTGAAGTGAAATGTTTGTGAAGGACACTGATGATTTTCAGTTTTCTGAGGTAGGGAATAACAGGGTGTTGTAAGTAGTGTTAGAACACTGTGTATTACCAAGAGATCAATAGCACTTGAGCTGAATGTCATTATGGTTATTAGGCCTGCTTGTCTGTATGGTGATGAGGCATGAGGACATTATGCAGAGTGGTGTGAGAGCATGTGTAAGTGAGTACATGAGTGTACTCATAAGAGTATCTGATTCAGTTTCCACTGTTGCTATAAGGTGTATTATGCATGTGTGCCATGTGAGCAGAATACTTATGATCAGTGATACACCAGTGATGAATGCTTGTAGCGTCAGTAGAATTCAGAGAGAGTAGGAGTGAGTAGTTTCAAGGTGAGAGGGGGAGAAATTGATGGAGAGGGTGGTGGTAAAGGTGAGCAGAGAGAGAGAGCGAGATAAGGAAAACACTGACATTGAGAATGACAAGAGGGTACACAAAGGTAATATCAAATGATAACAGCAGCAGGAACACACATCGCACATCTCTGAGCCTTGAAGCTCTTATTGTGGGTTCTGCTTCATTAAGATTCCTTCTCAAATGTCAGCCAAGGCTTTTCAGTATTCAGTTTTGTTCATATCAACAAATCGTTTGAAGAGACCAAAACTAACAATGAATCCTAGCTACTTGTAAGTTTTGTCTGTCCAGCCACTGAAAGCTTATTCCCTCTTTGCCATAAAGCTTCATCGTCCAAATATTCATGAAAACACATACGTGAGGTAAATCGTATCAATCCACAGCTGAAAGTAGTCTTGAAAAAAATTCACAATATATTTCCTTTTTGGGCCGTAATGCTTTGTAAACAACAGCTGCTTTTGGAAATCTGTTGGGTTTTTTTTTGTTGTGAAAATGGCAGTTTCTTTTTATGATCTGTTTTTTTAAAGTTTACATTTCAAGTTGAAATAAATGAGCTTGGGCTGAGTGCCACAGACAGTGTAAGTCAGAAAGTATTTAGAGGCTAACTAAAGCACTGGGCTTTCCATGGAACTGTTCTACCATCAGGACAAGTTTGAATAATATTTACACAAGTGATATTTCAAATGTGTTTGGTCAGGATGAGGAATAGTCTTAGACCATGACACCTCCATTCTCTGGCTTTCTCGTGGAATGGAAATAAACAAATAAGTACATAGAAATAGACAATGTAGCCTGTTTGAGTCAAAATAGATAATTAAAGGTGTGGTTATGGTGGGTTTCACCTGCAGTTAGGGCCCTAAAAGGAAGTTTATTTATTTGAACCAGGGACAGTGGAAAAAAAAACATTAGTCTTAGAAGAGAAGAGATGCTTTGTACCAGATTTAGCTTACTAAAGGTATGTGTAGTCCCCAGATGTGTGATCGGCTTCATCAAGCAGCAATATTGGTGCTATTTCTTTCTCAGCACAAATTATTTTTAACACCTTTAGCTGATGATAAAAAAAAGTATTTTCTTTGGCCGTGACATGAGCAGCAGAGACTCACAAGTCACGCCATCACATATTCTTTACCTGTTTGGTCTCCAAAGGGCAGAGCTGTCTTCACATTGCACTTAGTGAAACATAATGTAAATATCTGAATTCTTTAAACTTACCAGAATCAAAAAGAATTGGTTTTAACAGCACTTAGCTCATTTTGCACACTTTGTATAGTATTAAAAGTAGAGCACTCGATAAAAGAAGTACAGAGGAGTAGATGATACCACTATGGAGAGGAAGAAGTTTTAGGAGAAGACAGAAAATGGAATTCAGAGAGAAGGACAAGGAGCAAAGATGAATCACCATGGGAAAAGGGCAGAGCTAGAGAGAAAGGAGAGAGAGTGATGTAACATAAGAAGATAGGAAGGATGGGATGTGGAAGCCGACAGGGGCAGAAGAGGAGGTCAAAGAATGAGTGTTGTGTTGAGACTCTCAAGGTCATCCACAGGGAGAAGCTGAAACGCTTCATTTTAGCAAAATTTTGTCAGATGTTTTTCCTGCATTGTGAAATCTCTCCTACTTTAATTCCATAGTGATGTTTAAAAAAACAAAGCCAGGTGCATTTTCTGACTTATTAATGTTTTAAATGTTTTAAATGATGTATGGGAATGGTATATATGACGACTACATCCTGCAGGATTATGTTTTTTCCAACACGTCTGCATGGATTTTCAGTGATTTATAAAAGCAAGAATACTGCAACAAAGTTTCTCATGTCTTCTCTCTTCTTTTCTGCACTTATTCGTCACATAAAGCACAAGGGCTCCAGCATCATCAAAGCTAACATCAAAGTCAAACTGCACGATATTTCACTAAGATTGAAATAACTTTTTATGTAAATAAAATCACATTGGTTCAAAGAAACTTGACGGAGGAGGAGATCAAAGGAGACGGGCATATCTTGCCACCAACATGCATATGCACAACATTATTTGGACTTGGTGAAATTGGGAGTTGTGGCTTGGAGACAACTACTTACTTACAACCAGGATGGACAGAGGGGGAGAAATGTGACAAAAAGAAGACGAGCAGTGCGGAGAAGGCAAAGACAGAGACAGAGAGGGAGACAGTGAGAGAACAAACTCTCAGGTTAATGGGGCGAGGAATCTTGTCTTATTTAATATAGATGGTATGGGACATGAAATATACATGAAACACAGGGTTGACATCTGTATCAGCTTCATTAAAAAGCCTGTCTAAGGAGACCAAGAGAAGGAAGCTAGATAAAGTGGAAATCAGCAAAGTGAGGCTTTGTAGTAAGAAAGAAAGGAGGGAGGAGACAAAGACAAGAGGAAAAGACAGGGAGGGAGACATCAGATCAAGACAAAGAACTTGACAGCATTTGATCCCAGGGCAACGGAGGCCTTTTTTCTCTTCTTCTCTTTTCTACCAAGATGAGGACTTTTCCTGAGATGGAAATCAATACTTTATCATTGTTCTTTGTTTTGCTGTTGATCCTCAGTGTTTAAGTGTTAATCTAAGGTCTTCACCTCATGTGGTCCTGACAGGGCCCACGGGACCTCTAAACAGAGCCCAGTACTAACCCTGGCTTAAATTCCCATTCAGCTTGCATATAGCCCTGTGTCCCCTGGGTTATGACCTTTACAACGTGTTCTTATCCCAGTGACAAAAGCCATATGTTGGTATCAGCTCACAGATACAAAAATAATAAAAGCATCACAGTTTAGTCAAATGATTTTCCTGTGACCAAATTGGAAATATGTTATGTTGTGCATTTAGCTTGTGTTAGTTTTTGTGTTATTTCTTAGAACCAGTATCACTTATAATTAACATGCAGGAATGTCCCACACACAATACTTTGTATAAGGCTTATATGAATGAATGTCTGTTTCCAGTTGCTAGGAGCCGAATGCACAGAGGACAGAAGTTTAATCACCAATGTCTCATTTGTTGTAAGCTCCTAAGATATCTTGAACACCTTGCCTCTGTCTGTCTCCAGTTGCTAGGAACCAGTATGAGCGGATAGGCAGTGATGTCACCATGCAGTGCGGTTCCCTGGACAATGACGCATCAGTGTCATGGAAGGTGAATGGGACAGATGTGAAGGCCCAGCACCGTCTAGAGGGTCCCAGATTGACACTGAACGAGGTGGATCTGGGCCACAACGGACTCTACAGCTGCTTTCAGAACCCGCACGGAGAGAGACGTGACACCATCTACCTCCACATCGGCAGTAAGTAGCCAGACAATTGCCCGCCGAATATTACTTCAAATAAGACATGATGAATCTTTCATTATCCCAAAGGGGGAACTGGGTCATTAAAGCTGTAAAGACTAAAAGGAAAAGGCAGAATAGAAATGACCACAATGCAATTACATCTCAAAAGGAACGGAACCAATGTATTAATAATGAGAAATGTTATGGATTCTTAGCTTGTACGTATGTGCAAAAAGAAAGACAAAAGCAACACACAAAAACACAAAACTTGCCCTGCAGCAGATATTAATTGTGGTTACTTCAAGTACAATGGCAATGTTATGCTCATTATTATTTGATGTCTCTTTCATGGGTGTCCTGCACAGAGCTCAGCTTGGACGGAGTGGGGACTTATGCCTTCACTTTTATGGACAATAGAAGATGTAACTTCAATTAGATTATTTTTCTTAGCAGGTTTAAGCCTTTGCTGACGTCTCACCTGAAGAAACCAATGTGACTTTTATATTTTAACAGAATGAACATTACATGACACAAACGTTTTTGTTAAGTCTCATATCTAGTGTTATATAGCGGTGAGTATTTTACTTTGAACATAAGCATGATACATTTGGAGTGTCTTTTTTAAATAGTTTTGCATAGCTTGAGCATAATGTAATTGGAAATTGTAATAGTAAGTCACAATATTTTATACTATCTTAAATATTGATATAACAATAGTAGCAATTACTGTAGCCACTCCTATTATAACTCTATGGTAAGTTGAAATAGTTAAATTAATTTTTCAATCACATTTTAAATACAAAAATAAAACACAAATGTTCATGTCAGCAACCGTTATTGAAGGACGGCTTGCCAGCTGATAATCGAGAATGATTAGTTGTCAAAAAGAAACGTGGTCATTTAGCAGTAATGGCTTTGCATTTAAATAATCATATAAAAGCTAAATGAGTGTAAATGTAATGGCATGTCACTGTGGTCTTTGATTTGGCTATTGCCCGCTTTGAGGTGCTTTATTCTGTTAAAGGTTTTTACACACTGGGCTGGTGAATAATAATGGTGTTTAAGTAGAATGAGACTTGTAAATGACAAGCACCTCATACACATTTATAGTAAAATTAACAAAAGTAATTAAATATTATAATTCTTCATTGGTCATTAATTAAAGTTTTAATTGTATTAATTTATCATATTGATACTTGATGTTGTGAATGTCACACCTTTAACATCAAGTAGGCCTACATGTCATTATACTTTATTTGAAGTATTTTGTTGACTGATTTGACCATTTGAAGTCTAGTAAGCAACATAGGCAACAGGCTAAACCAGTTTTAATATGTGTTCAAATTCACATGTTATATTCTAATTCAAACCTCAAATTATTTGAATAAATGATTTTGCTGTATAAATATACAGCGTTAATGCTCTGAGATTGATAGCTCCCTTTCTGTTCTATTTTTAATTGACAGCTTTGAGTCACTTCAAAGTGACGTTTCTGGCCAGTAGTGATCACTTTCCATCTCTGTCCATTCCAGTCTGTTGGCAGTCAAAGTAACAGCAACATATAAAATTACAAATTAAATTTCCGCAGAAATTGAACTGCATGCTGCTAGCTGGTTAGCAGGTGGAAGTGAAAATGTCTTTGGCATCAGTCATGGAAGGCCCCTTCAAAACAGAGCCAAAAGTGACATGATTTGATAGACTGCTGGCATGGAAACATGTGAGTTTCTTTCACAAGCTGTTCAAGTAAGCCTTAGGTCTAAATAATAAAGATTAAAGATTAAAAGAGAAGCAGCATTAGAGGAATAGAGGTAGAAGATGGTAGCCATTCATCTCTCTAGCACATTCCCCACAGTAGATTGGTTTACTATAAGAGTTATTACTTCATTATACAAATACATTTAAAATGTTAGTGTGAATAAAAAAGCAAAGAAGTGTAGCGAGATTGGTTAAATACAGTATATTCTCATCAGTTTAGCAGAAAACCACCACTTGTAATCCTGTCCACTTGTCAACAGAAAGAAAGCCAAAGGAACCACCTATGGCCACTACATTTCAGGCTGATGTTAAATGTAACATTTCCATGCAAATGTTTGATGAATGAGACTGTATGTGAGGGTGACAGTTAGGTTAATCATATCACCAATGATGAATTACTCAATGCTGAGAAAATACCGCATTAATCAGAGTTTTATGTTATCTTAGATTATGTCACTATAGTGTGTGTGCATGAGTGTGTGTGTGTGCATGTGGGAGAGAGTAAAGCAGGTACAGAAAGTGATGAAGGAACCACATGTCAGTGTTGAAGCTCGTGCATTTGTCTGCATGTTTTTATTTTTTATTCTTTTTACCAATGTTAATTTCTCTTTCATAATGACACTTTGGTGGTCTCGAACAGTGTGAGTGTGTGCATGAGAGAGAGAGAGAGAGAGAGAGAGAGAGAGAGAGAGAGAGAGAGAGAGAGAGAGAGAGAAACAGAGTTGCATTGTGTAACTGTTCTTTTGGGGTCAATTACATGTTTGTGAGAAGAATACCTTTGTGGTTTAGCCTGGTTGTGAATATAATTACCTCGATAACAGTTGGTGATTTTATGACACAAGGCACTCTCCGGGGAAACATCGACTTTAATTCTGTCTTTCAAACTGCAGAAACTTGTAGTATCATATTCTTTCGCTGTGTCTCTCTGGCCCTTTTGTACAGAGTCTTAATGGGGGAAATGATGCTGTTATTTCTCCTGGCGAATGTGTATTAAACCTAAAAACACAGATAGGGGGGACATCTTTCAAAGCTGTAGCTGAGCCAAAAGTGATTTGATGACATGTAAGATGTGCAGGGAAGAAAGGATTTAAAAATGCCCCATGTATGGAGGCTGTAGTCTTCCAAGCGGGCCGCCCAGGTTCAAATCCAGCCTGTGGCTCCTTTCCTACATGTCATACCTCACTCTCTCTCTCCTTGATTTCTGACTCTATCCACTGTCCTATCTCTCCAATAAAGGCACAAAAAGCCCAAAAATGAATCTTAAAAGAAAAAAAAAAGAAAGCTGCTACATACTGAGTGTTATGTTGCACAGCAACTTGTGTTTGCCGAATGTGAAAAAAAAGAAAAAGAATCCCAACATTTAGTCAACCCATCTTTTTCAAAGATGCACCAATCCAATTTTTTTAAATTCTGATCTGATATCATTATAGTATTAATAACCTAATCCTGACATGGAGGATGAGACAAAATATTCATGTTTAGATAATTACATATGAACTGACTATGTTGTGATCCAAATCTTCAATATGTGTAATGTTTACAACAGCATCAGTCTCCCTCTGCTGTGACAGTAAACCTCTTGTTGACTCCTAGCTGCATTAAATGTACAAAAAACCATTATCAATAACTGCACCAGTGCAACTTTCTGCCACAACATGGATTTTTGTTGTTTGGTTGTAGTGCACACACAAGGCACCTCCAATTACGCAGCCTAGCAGCCACAGTGGAGGGTAAATTAAAGTAGCACAAATTAATGGTAAACAGACTTAACTTGCACAGTGCTTTTCTAGTCTTCTGACTACTCAATTCAGGGTTGCTGCAGGAGCTGGGGATCGAACCCTCACCCTTCTGGTTGAGAGATGATGACTCTACCAACTGAGCCCCAGCCACTTTGATATTTGTCACAGACAATGGCTTAGTGTCTGACTCTCAGAGCAGAGCTAGCTTTCTCTCTGATAAAATAGCTCCGCCTCCTCCTTGTGTCAGAGCAGGTGTCAGTATTAACTATGAAAGTGAATTATGGCAGAGCAATCAGTTTAACTTTTACATTTACCCCTCTTCAAGTTTCAGCATAAACAGAAACAGTAAGTGGTGTGCTCACTTGCAGTGCATTCTTGAACTTGTTATTTCAACCACCACCACTCCAAACATCAGCTTTGCAGAAATTGCGAGGAAGTTGTTGGCTTGACATGTTACATGTGGGTTTCAAGTCATGCCTGCTGGCATGCTTTCTATAATCACACAACAGGGCTTCAATTTGCCACTTTCTTTTGTCTCAGTTTGAAAAATCAAAGTGTTACAATGACTAGTCTTCGTTGTAGAACTATTCCTGGATCTATGTGTTACAGGGTTTAAGTCTCATTCTTTTCTTTCATTCTTTTCTTTTGCATTAGTTATCACACCCTAAATGCAGCCTGATATTTTTCGTACATTTCTATTTTGTTCTTTGTCTCTTGTCTTTGTATTTCACACTATTTCTTTTTCTGAATTTTAACTTCCATCACACAGTACTAATGACAGCATAACAGGATACACTTGTTCTGATTAGCATCGTGATGATAGTTTGATTTTATGTAGTGTTTATTACTTACACCAGGGGCTTGTTATGTTTTACACAGATAGAAGTGTTATCAGGAGAACAGCCCAGAGCCATCTGTCTATGCCTTTTTCATTTTTCTCCCTCACTCTTTGTCTTGTTTCTCCCTCAAACTTTGTAAACTTGTCATCTTTCTTTCCCCCCCTTTTCCCGCCTCTCTTCACCCATCCATTCTTCCCTGCCTCTGTCTCTGTATCTGTCCCCATCATCATCATCATCATCATCATGTCTTATCTCTCAAAATGTTTTCTTTGGATCCTACACTCACCCCTCCCTGAACTCTCTCTTGGTTCTTGTGCCTTGGCTGGTAGTTTCTTGCAGCATCTGTTAGCAGTGTGTTTACACTGTTTTTTAATTTTTTTTATTACAGTATGTTCACAGGACGTCAAACTATGACCCCAAAACTGTCTGCGTGTATGTGTGTTTGCCCCACCTTCATGCCAATTTTAAGGAGCTTTTGTGAGCTTTTCCCAGAATAGTGTCAACATAATAGCAGCTGAAGTGACCACAGTTGTTCCTATTTCTATGGTGGGTATGACTTTTATTTTTACGAGTGTGTAGTGTCGCTGGGTTGTCTGTTTCTCTTACTCTTTCTTTTATGTCACTGTAGGTGAAAGCTATGATGAAGTATGAACTTATGAAGGCTCGTTGAATAAAATGATGATCCTAAATGGATGGACGTAGATGATGGAAGATGCATTGCTCAAGATATTTAAAAAAAAAAAAAGTGCCAATCTTCTCAGACATGTACATACACAATCACTTAATAACATACTCCAGCACCCAACTATTCAATGACATCCTCTAACACTATCGTCAGATAGAGTTGATGTCAGACAGGAAGTGGCAGACTGATAAAGAAAGTGAAATATATGGACAGCTAAAGGTCATTATAAAATATCAAAGCTCTTTAGTGAAATACAATATTAGTTTCCTTAGCTGACACAATGTGAAGTTTTTGATGCCCTGGCCTTATAGCTCCTTTCTTTTGCTCTCTTCATTGGCTGACAGCTAGGCGCTTTATAGCATCATACATGATGTTCTAGATCCGTCCAGTTATTCACCCTTACAACTAACACAACATGACCTACAGCTGCTCATATATCCGTCCAGTAACCCTAGTGACCCGTCGCACAGTCAGCCTGCAAGACTCATAACTTCAGGAGTTAGTTACGACACAGAGTTAAGACATATCTGACAGTTTATGCCTTCAAATAAAAGATTGACTGTTGATGGCAGCTGCTGGAAGGGCTTTATGTTAAAGCTTATAAGTCAGCCTGCTAGAAAAAGAATCGCAAGAGTAGCATTTTATTTTGATGAAATGTTGTGAAACTCTTACATCCTCTGAGTAATTTGGTGAAAATAAATGTTTTTTTTAATGTTTGCCACAATCGAGAAAACTTTCATGTTTTGAGTTTGTTTTAAGTTTCTGAGAAACATAAAAAGGAAAAATGTTATTAAATGGGGGAAAAAGGGGGAAATTGAGGTTGGACAAGTCCTAGTGATAATGGAATTAAGGAGACTAATCTTGTGATAATTCTTAACATCCATAAACTCTTTTAATTTCTAAAATATATTGTATCATGTTCCCTTTTCACGTAGGGTTTATTTAGTTTATTTAGTCTTGGATTTTTATTCTTAAGTGGTTTTTGACTGAAATGAAGGCCTTCATAGAATGGAAGTAGGTATGGGATGGTAAAGTATTGACCTATAAGCTAATCACTCAACATGCCAGCCAATAGGAGCCAAGAAGATACACTTTTTCCTTCCCACATTTTTTGATAGCTAGTTCATTGGACCATCAGCAGACTCTTTACAGAAAACTCCCATTCCTGTTACTAGACATTTAAAACATATTTATAAAAGAGAAAACATTCAGACTATATTGTGAGCAAGAGAAGTGTCTGTTTAGTGATGAATTTGTACAATGTGTCATCACACAGGAAAGGGGATTCTAGGTTTGGCTTGGAGTCATCCTTGGAAACAGATCCTGTCTGAGCCGCTGTCAGATCAGAGCATTGCCATTATGTAAACTCTGCTTTTTTTTTTTTTAAGTAAACAAATGACAACACAAGTCTTCACTGCCTGTGGTGTGGGTCGCTTTATCAGGGAACATCCATATGGCTTAAGGTGTGTGTGTGTGTGTGTGTGTGTGTGCTTGTGTGTGTTTATGGTTGTGTGTTAGTGGCTGGATCAAAATCCCCCTGCAAAAAGGATAGATAGATAAATAGATAGATAAATAGATAGATAGATGATAGATAGATAGACAGATAGATAGATAGATAGATAGATAGACTCTTTATTGTCATAGTATAAAGGAACACAACAAAACTTTGTTAGCAGCAATCCTGTACAGCAGCATTAAACAATCTGTTCACATATATAAAAATATATTTGTAGTTACAAGAGAAAGATGTTAGTGCATGATGCTCCCTTCTCATTCAATCTAACAACAATCTGCAACTAGCCTTGCATTTGTATCTGCTATTCCAGTATGAATCCCAAAATTATAAATTCACACTTTTAGATAACAGTAGCAATTTTGTGGAACTTTTTTTGGCCAAATTTCTTTTGCCCATAATGAAACAATTGCACGCATCTGAGGTTTCCATGTGGGGATGGTGAACCGTCTGGACCACAGGTCAACTGCTGTCTGTAGCAAAACTAGTTATGTACCCAAAACCAGGTTTTGCCTCAGCATATTTGCACTAACATATAATTTCAAACACAGTATTAATAGAATCTAAAGACATAGTGGTATACGCCTCTCCCTCTTCTTTAGTTATAACTAATATATGTGTTTCCCGGACTCCTATCTTAACCCAAGGATATCATTTAAGTGAAATTAAATTGGGAGCACTAATTAAGTTCACATTTAGATAATCTATCCGTGCTCTGTTGGTTAAATTAAATGTTTATCCTCAAATGCAGCCCATCCAAGACCGCAAACACACACACACACACACACACACACACACACACACACACACACACACACACACACACACACACACACACACACACACACACACACACACACACACACACACATACACACACATACACATTGATTGGTCGCCTTGAGCTTCACTAAGGATGAGTTGAAGGAGGAGTGAGTTCTCTTGTTAGATTGATGCACATCTCTTACCCTCAGGCAACTTATTTCCACACACATACACACGCGAACACACTATACACACATAAACACACACAAAAACACCAATTGGTATCTATTTCCTTTCCCTAGGTAGCTTGTTTTTGTGTGGAACCCCCCCCCCCCCCTCACACACACACACACACACACACACACACACACACACACACTCAGGGGACATGTGCTACATCTCTGGGTAATGGAATTGTCTTGTCTCCTTGCAGACAGATCACTATGGAGGTTGGTGAATACGTAGAGCTCCTCTGGGACTTCCTGTTTAAACCAGGGAGAATTTGACCTCACATGTAAGGCCAGAGCTAGAACTACTAAGCTGCCATTTTAATTACCTTCCTTGCCTGTCCCAGTAATTGGTCAATCATAATAAATAGAAAATACCTGCATTGAGAATTTACACAGTCTTAAAATGTAATTCAACAGTGTGTCACCCTCAGCTCTCTTGGGTTTCATTTCTGTCAGCGGGAAAGCAATTGCACGTTTGAAAGGTAAGACCTGGAGGATTGAATGATGCAAGCATTTCATAGTGTTATTCTGAAATCGCCTGTACATCGAAGATATTCTTTATTAATAAATAAATATTAATAAATAATTGATGTATTTTACTGTTGGAACTACCACAACATGTCTGTGGTTTATACAGACTTGAAGGAAACTGAATCTACATCTTGTCCCTTTCATACTGAGAAAGGCCAAAACCTTGACCAGGTTTCAGATTGATTAACTTTCACAAAAGTTCTTAAGTTAACACGATTTTTGGAGTTTTAAGGGGCTTCCAAGTGACATTTAGCAGGATAGACCTTCTTCAGTATAATCCACCTCTAAAGGAAAATATAACTTTCCAACAGGAATCAATAAAGCTGACACTGTTTGTCTGGAAGTGTCATAAGCTAATTGTAATGTGAGCGTCAATACATTGCAGTTTTGCAGTCACAAACCGTGAAATATTTAGCAAAAGGTCATTTTACCAGTGGATTTCCATTGCAATGTTTCTCAGTTCTTATTCTGCACATTCATCCTTAACATTATTGTCACTGCATTTCTCTCCACTCTCTGTCTTTCTCCTGCCATAACACTTTCTCCTCTTTTGTTCCGCTCCATATCGCCAATTCCTTTCCTCTCCATTTTTTTTTTTGCTCTATTTGCACGACAACAGCAACTCCCATCACTTTATCGTAGCAGACAACCATAACAAATGCTAAAATGGGCCTGGTTTGAGGAGTCAATGGAAGCCATGGAAAACATATTTCTAAAAAAAAAAAAAAGAAAAGATCACTGTGTGCTATGGCCTCTGTGTATATGTCTGCTATCAGGAGTGATGTGCTAAGGCCGATTGTTTAGCTTTTCCTCTCACTTTTTTGCTGTTTCTGAGCAACAAAGAGAGAGACTGGGTTGCAACACAAGTAAGCATGAAGGCATGAAAAATAAAATCTACCCATCAGGCTAAAAGCTACATTTTCTGTGGATAAGATGTTAAGCAGCAAGGAGCAAATGTTAGCTATACTCATGCACTTTACCAGGGATCCAAATTACAATTGAAGCTCAGCCAAGGTAGTCTTTTCTCAAGTCCAGTATTCTTCTTTTTACATCATTCTTTATTGTATCCCACCACCAGTGTGTCCATCCATTATTCTCAACCATGTTTCATATTTTGCCCCTGCATGCCTGCTTCTACTTCTTTCCTCCACACATCTTAATATTCTGGCCTGTTCCCCTGGTTCCCCCCTTTCTCCTGCTCTAATCCTCTTACTCTGCTCCCTGGACCATCCCATATTTCCCACTTCTTCTCCTCTCATCTTTCTCTCAATAGTTTGGTGTATATAAGCTTCAAATGAAATTCTCATGTGACTTCACAGTCTGTGTTTAGTGTGCTTTTGCTGTAATGTCTGCAAGTATATATTCTGATGTAGTAATCTTCATCTACAGTGCTCGTGGATAGTTTTGAACATCAATTAATCAGTGTTATCCTTCAATATATTCACACTCAGATAATAATCTCAGGGGATTGCTACAGTAAATATCTTGTAATTTGTAATGTGGCTGTGGCTCAGTTGGTAGAGTTGTCGTCTCTCAACCAGAAAGTCTAGGGTTCGATCCCCAGCTGGGCAACATGTCTGATGTGTCGTTGGGCAAGACTCTTAACCCTGAATTGCTCCCGCTGCTTCAGTGGTGGTGTATGAATTAGTTACTTCTGATGGGTAATACTATATAGCGACCACTACCATCAGTGTGTGAATGGGTGGGTGTGACATGTGGTATAAAAGTGCTTTGAGTAGTCGGAAGACAGACAAAGCGCTATATAAGCGCAAGTCCATTTACCATTTAATGTAACATTTTAGAACAAACGTAGAGTTCAAGTGCAGACAGGTAAAAAAAAAAAAAAAAAAAGCTAAGGCTGCAAGTGCAAAAGTGTATAGCTGAAGTTAATAACCAGCCTGCAGATCAGGTTGGTATACCAAAAGTCTCCCAGGAAGAAGTTGAAGTGAAGGGAGACTTAAGTAAGATAAAGCACAGCTAAAGACAGATGAGCTTATTTTTAAGGAACAGGAGCCCAACGCAGGATACAGTGTAGATCAAAGACAGGATTCAGGATCTTTGTGAGGATTTAGCCAAAAAATGAAATTGAGCAAGTGGTGATGAGAAAAAGACAAATAGTTTCTGTACTCCCTCCTCTAGAGAAATATGAAATCTATTATTAAAATAAAAATACAAACATGAATGTGCAGCTATGATGGCATTGAAACCAAAAAAAGAGCAGACACAGAAACATAGTTGTGATCAGAGAGGATTAGACTTAAAGCACAGGGAACCATTACCTGTTCACATTCTGTTGCCATATAACTGTTCTAACCTGCTGACCTTGAGTACTGAAATAGATATAGCTATTGAAAGTAAAAATAGAATGTTTAAGGGAGAAAGTTAAACACATTTGCTTACTCTCTCTTGAGAGCACACTTCAAGTGAACATATCTACCCCTCAAGGCTTTTTGTGTCTGTGTGACTCTGGTGTGACAAGACTGAAGTTGAAACTTGGACAACCTTGAGCATTCTGGGAAGTGCCCACAGTTCATGTCAAAAACATGAGGCTCATGGGTTTTTTGTTTTTTTTGGTGGCTTTAAAGCCTAGTGGAGCAAACTTCAGTGGTTGAACTTGAGCAGCTGAGGCATCACATCTCGTCTTCTGATATGCTGCTCCTTGCTCCAATTAAATTTGCAATGCTCCAGCTCCGTTCCACTCAAATGCTCTGCATGAAACAAAACCATGGAAGTCTATGTGGTAATTGGCAGTGTTAGATGAATATGTTGCAGTCCTAAGCCTTTTTTTTTTTTTTTACTTTTCCAACACATTTGTTTGGGTTCTGTGTCCATTTTTTAAAATGTACTTCTTCTTCCTGTCATTTTAGTAGAACCCTTCTTCATTTAGCATAAATCAACCATCAGTAAAGTGACAGGTGTAGCAGGACTCTAAATAAAGGACATTAGTTTTGTTAATTTAAAAAGTGAAAAAAAAACTCTTCCATATAGGAAAACTAAGATAATCGGCTGAAGGTTGTAAGGTTACATTCTGTTTTCTCTCTCCCTCTCTCTCTCTCTCTCTCTCTGTCTTTTCCTGTCTCACTCCCTTTTCTGGCTCTAATTACCCATCCAGAGGTAGTGGAATAAACCGACTGACTGTATTATTATCTTGTCTCCTCTGTTCGCTCCGCTTTCCTACAGTTGACATGCAGCAAAGCAGAAATGAGTGCGCCGTGTGTGAGTGTGCTGTATGTATTGGTTGTGTATGTGTTGCTGCTTGTGGGTGCCTTTGTTGTGTGCTTCACATTAATGTGTCACTCTGTCCCTGTGGGTGTGTGTACACTTCTTTGTTTATGCCAAAATTTGCAGCTGCATTTTTGAGTGCACATGTGTGTGGTTGTGTGCGTCAGTAGCTGTCACTGTGTGTTTTATGTACAAAGAAGGTAAAGGCCTGTTCTTTCTTGATTAGTGTCCACTCATATACACATTTCTGGGTGAGACGGCCCAGAAATGTGTATATGAGTGGACACTTTCATGATCCTCTGTTTGTATTTTTGTGTGTCTGTGCGTTTGTGTGTGAGAGAGAGAGAGACAGTGAGAAAGAGTGCGAGGGAGAAAAAGAGAGCCTTTGACCAGAAAGTATTCCCCCTGGTTCAGTGTCCAACGGTGAGGTTGAGCAGTTTTCTCTATTGACATCAAGCTACCGAGAAATGGTCAGATATCCATGAAAACATGCTCACCGGCCGTTTTTTTGTGTTTGTGTATGTGGCTCCTAGAGACATTCAAATATCAAAGGTTGAAAGAGGTAAAACAACCCGCTCTTGCTGAACCCTTTCAACCAACCCTGACACATTCAGTCAAATGAATGCACTCCCAACCCTAAAACCAAATGTCTTTTAAGGCATCTTATGTAGAGACTGCTTGTTGTCTTTTTCTTTATCTTGTTGTCTGTTTCAATGCCAGATATATTCATATAAATATACCAACTGATACCAGAGACTACAGAAGAAAATTGAAATCTTAACACGTCACATCATCTTTAAAAATGGTCTGTCCTTCTTTCTTATTGTTATATCTATGTAGACATAAAGTGATGTTTAGATGTGTCTTATCATGCCTTGAAATAGTATATAGTGTTTGCAAAAAGACATGCAGAATGCACAAAGACTTAAATAGAACTAAATACTTTATCACAAAAATTAAAACCATAATTTGTTGTTATGAATAAAGCTGCATAAATAATGTGAAAGAAGTAAACAAAAACTCCAATGAATAATAGTATTTTTAAAATGCTGACAGATATGCATTTTTTTTATTATTAGATACAGATTGGTTTTGAATCTTCAAGGATGCATTCAATGTATACGACCATTTTAGACTGAGGCAGTTTAAAAATCTAGCGATAAGGTCAGTCGATGTTACAGAACATAGAGAGAACATCTTGTTCGGGTGTTATATGGTGGAAGTTTGACTTTTTGACATTTTATATCCAGGGATATGATATCTCTAATAAAGACATATATTATTATTGTGACGTTTTAAATTATTTGGCATCAATTAGAAAGCTTAAAATAGGACATTGCATACGACTCATAAAAACATATTCCGATTGAATTCAGATAAACCTACATCTCAATTTCAATCTCTTTTTTCAAAATTATAATTATAAGTTCCTGTTTAGATTATTATTGCTGCTTTGAAGGTAGGGTATGGACAATAAGCTTATTAATAAGCCTCCTGACTTCTACAG